AGAAGAGGAAGTGATGAGAAGATAAGTTTATTTTCTATTTAAACATAAAAACAGCATTTTAATAACAGGTAAATGTGACATAGATACTTTATTATGGTTTAGTATTTAAATGTGCACCTGAGAAACACATAATATTGCCCCTTTAATTACAACTGGCCCTTTGATGGCCACCATAACGTTCATGTGGCCCTCAGTGAAAATGAGTTTGACCCCCCTGGTCTAACAGAACATTAATCATCAGTTTTATTAATTAAAGATTAATGTAGGAACAATGGTGGGGATGAATCAGAGCTGCTATGAATCTGGGGAGAGGTCGTATCCCATCTGTCCCTAGTCCTRTCTGCCTGGTCATAGATAGCTGCAGAACAACAACAAAAATATTAGGAGATTTCAAAACCATGACACGGCATTTCTGAACTGACTGATCAATGCTGAAGAGTTTTAAAATACCAGTGATTCAAGCACCAGAAGGTTTGTTGTTGTTAATTTGGGGTAAACCTCTATTGTCAGAGGGAAATAGCAGGCATTCAGACTGAAAAGCTTCATTTCAGGAGAAATGGAGACAGAGTTGTTGGATTTTGTGGCAGGCCATCACACAGAGTTTTTGATGGAGGCAAAATTAGGAAGAAGAGGATGAAAACTGGTGAGAATGGTGTCAGATCTTCAAAGCCTCTGTTTCAGTCGACAGCATGAAGGCCAGAGAAAGGATGACGGGTTTTAACACTAATGAGCCACAAGAGAGAAGATATTATGAAGACTTACAAAAAACAAACACTGATGCAGAAACACAATCTGTCTGTGTAGATATTTACTAAATGTKTACACACCTTTCTGTCAAGTATGTCATGAAGTTTGACATGCTTTTGTTAAACTGGCAGACAGATGTTGATATAAACCTATGATATTGATATAAACTTATAAAAAAGTCAGAAAAGAGGCTGTTCTCACAATACTGGCATGATATGAATGAGTTTTAAACGAGAATCATTTAACAACAAAACAGAACCTGAGTTTTCACTTTACTTTTTAATGAGCAGAGGTGTATAAAGTACTTAGAAAAAATCAACAAAGAAAAAAGACCCTAACAGAAACTTACTTTGGTAAAAAAATGTATTTTACGGATGAGAAAAGTACTTAAGTAAAAGT